GTTTTGGAGAAGACAAAGACCTTCCACCGGAACTATTTAACATGGAGGACGATTAGCGTGAGCTTGTCACATATTTTCTTTTTTATATTATGTGGATATATTCAGTTTTTCGAAATTAAATATTTTGTTTGACCATTACTTTGTTTTCTGTTTTCTTAGTTCCTTTTTTTGTTAATATTATTTTCTATGGAGCACTGCACTCTGAGGATTCGCGTGTATGCCTTGTGGTTCACAGACATTGCACTAGCTTTTTAAATTTTTTTTCTTTTTTGTAGAGCCTCTTTGAGGGGTAGGGCTAGTTGTTTTGTATATTGGAGAAGTTGGAGAAACGCTGACTATATTTAACGTTAGGTCATATAACGAAAGCAAGATAACAACGGACTTACAGTGTTTTGGTCCACCTATATACCCAACTTAATTACTTATAAATATAATACAGACCTTAGGCAACCAATTTAAGTTTGAGCTCTGACGTCCACACGCACTTGAAATAGAGCGACGCCCGCATCTATACGCAAGACGTACAGCCTATCCTGTACTCGAGTACAGGGTGTTCTGTACAATGTGGTTTGAGATATAGGCTGTTCAGTTTTCGTCGTCGTCGTCCGAAGCGCCGTTTTGTTGCGGCTCATCCACGTTTGCGTCGCCCATGCCTGAGTGATTATAAAAATATTGGACATTAACAAGTAATAAGGTTTTTAATAATATTTAATTTTTTTCCATCATATCTTTTTTAATCTTTTTTTCTCTAATTTATTTCAAATGAAAGAAAAAAGATTTAGATTTAGTTTAATTTAGTCTAAAGATGGCAAAATCTTTAAAATATATGGATCAATATGGAGGAAGAAAACAGAGAGACAGCTGTGACAAAATTGTCATCGATACTGTCTAGAACCTACCTACAGAAATAAAAAATAACATAACTGAAAAAAACATTAAATTTGTGCTTAAAAAATACACTCCCGGACAATTCGAGCCACCTCGTACCAGTATTAAATGCTTAAACAATGTTCGATTGATCAAGAACTACGCAATTTTGAAACTTGCATATTAAAAGTCTTTTCCATAAGTCCTTGTTGGAAATTTGGACTTGCAAAACCAGGGTAAACCTTTTTCTTCGATGATAACACTATTTTTGTATTCTAGCCCTTTAAGGCAAAAATTCGAGATGGCTCGTATTACGTGTCCGAGAGTATATATTCTACAAAAGTTATAGCGTAATTAATTAGTTGTCATATAATGGCACAAGGTTTTGGCGAGTTGTAGAATGCAAGACACGACGATAGGTGCACTTCGATGTAATAATTAGTTTTACCGTTTTTAATGAAATACACACTAATTGTTTTAGATTAATTGACTAGTCCACTTGCAAACGGCTCTACGTGACATTTTTAATGATTATTAGTTAATGGCGTGAAATGGATCAGTATTTTAAATAATTTCAAATACTTTAACAATACAGTGCCAAAACTTGGTATATTCTGAACAAATCAGTGTCAAATGTTGACGACTCTTGCAAAAGTCGCTATCTTTCTTAGTTTTACACTTGCAAAAGTTGCCATTTTGTCGTCAATCTGCAAACGCTGCTTTATTGAGCATAAACTCGTGCAAAATCCGTTATTTTGTTTAGTATTTATTATTTTGTCATTTGAGAGGTCGCTCGTGTACATTTATCAAAAACTTGCTCGTCTAACATTTCGGCGAAGATTGGTCTACATACGAAATTTTTGAATTTTATACCCATATTATTGGGCAAGTACAATCAAATGTGATCGAAGAAAAAAAGACTGGTAATTAAGATACATTGATTGTTGACGACGTGGATATAGGAGTCTAAAGGAAAATTAAAATTAGACTTCATTAGAATAAGTTGTATTTTTTACTATTTTTAAGTATAGGAAAACTGGCCAAGTTATCATTGTGTTATTGGAAAACTAGCTACGTTAATTCTGAACAATTACAAAACTAGTTATTTTAAGATTACAGTTCCAAAGTACAGTTCTCTATGTTCAATTTCTGAATAGTAATAAAGTAAAAAGTTGAATACTGTGATTTTGTTTTTTCATATTGTTTATCTCGTTTTTATCACAATTTTCAGATAATTAAAAAAGTACCATTTAAGAATTCGTTTTCGGAACAATAATTGTTTCATTAGTTTATAGCTTGTTTTTATCCACGCTCGGTGTCCTAGTGGTCTACTCAATTATTAGTGTAGCTTAATTTTTTTGTATGTCGAAATTTTATATCTGGTTAAAATCACCAGTATTGAGTTAAACCAGTTATGGTTTTTACAATACTGTCTGTACTTGATAATGCTATTATAAAATAAATAAATAAATAAATAAAAAATAAAGGTCAAACAGGCCTTTGTTTTATTTAATAGAAATAAGTAGGGAGCACTGACCTCCGTCTTCATCTTCCTCCGCGGAGTCTCCCGCGACTTCTGCGTTCTCAGCCTCTGCACGCTCCATCTGTCGCGCCAGCTCGGCTTCGTCCGTGGCCGTCACAACCTTCGGCTGTGCGCAGACAACACACAACGATTACAATGCGATAATTTTGTCGACGCAAATTGACCTAATTATTAACTTTAAAGTAAGCAGCATGAAATACAGAAGTTCTATATATTCGAAAAGCATTAATAGTATTTAGAAATTGCACTCTGATTGTCGACTTGAATTTTAAAGCTCCAGGTCTCAAAGGATAGTAGCGACATCTGGCGGATATTGTCTGTACTACTAACTGAACGGCGAGCCATATCGTATTGACATTATAGTCTAGCAATTAATAGATCTTACTGTCGTGGTCCAAGTCACGAATACATTTTAGAAGGCCCTATTTAGTTGTTTATTTATAACAGGATCAAGATAGAGAGGGTCTAATTTTTGCTATAAAATAGTTATGCATGCTATGTAATTCTTTTTTCTCTCTGGATTTATTTGTAACATTGTAACTCGTTCAAACATTAACAATAATAAAATAAAAATTGTTACACATAGGAAATGAAGTCAACTGTGACCATGGGACCTGTAAAGGGCCCGAAACGTCGAATTGTTTGAAAAAAACAAATATACGCGATTTAAATCTGGAAAAATAGTTTAATTTCCTATTTGTAACCACTAACTTCAAGCATGAACTGTTCATATTGACTACCTTGAATAGAAATTTGTACATACCGCCATTTGTACGTTGAACACTCCGCCAGCCTTCGTGATGGTCTCCTTAATCTGGTCGATGGCGTCCTGCAGCGCCTTGAGCCCATCCGCCTTTTCAGGCGTTGACGTGGTCATTACTGAATAATTTAATTAGGACTTTTCAATATGGATCCACCATCAATTTCAATAATTTTTTTATGATATCAAGTGACAGGATGAACAAGTCGTGCGCCTGGCCAGGGCTTCGACACTCGTTCGAGGTTACGCGATAAGTGTCTATCGTTGACTGTACCGCCGACAGTGCAAGAGCTCAGACAAGTCTTTTATTTACATTACATTCATGTACAGCACCCGCATTCGGTTCCGCACGGCTGCACACGGCGGGTAACGTTATTTTCACCTCTCTGAGTGCGTGCCTAAGTTCCTTTTCCCCCGTACTGAGCGCCTGGTGTCATTCGTCAGATTTTGAAGGCTATTATAGCGTAGGTATTATATATTTTATTTTGTATGAGAGTAATGTATTTCTTACGTAGTAACTAATTACTTTTCAGTCGCCCCTCGTACGTACATTTAGATGACTTTAAAAGGTTAAATGAAAAAAGAGACACTATAGAAATAAAAATATGCAAGACCTTGCAATATAAAAATATCTTTGTAGGAGCTTTGAAAAGACTGTCAACGAAACTAGTGGAAAACATCATTCACTTACCATACAAAGGTGGTGCAATAAGATTGATCTTAATAGGCATCTCCGCAGAAGATAATGCAAGGCCCGACTTCAATGCTGTCCTCACCGCGTCAATGCCCTCGTAACCGTAACACGCACACTCAATATCCGCTCGGATCTTCACTGCTTGAGACGTTAATTTACGCTTGATGTTGGCTAGAAGGACTTCTTTTGTGTTCTCGTCGAGACCACATTCGTTTAGCACTGAAGGGTCTCTGAAATTACAATTTTTTTTTTAATAATGTCAAATGATGGGACGTACATGTCGTGCGCCTAATGGTAAGCTACACGCCTGTATGTAACAGTTGCAGTGCCACTCAAAGCTTTAAATCGCAAAGATCTCAGGGGCACTGTCACTGCGCCCGTCACCCTGTGACATAAGTTGACAAGTCCCACGTGCGTGCAATTTCACCAGCACCCTTTCCCTTCAAAACCGAAATAACTGTTTACTTTGGACATTACTGTTTGGCGGTAGAAATAGGTAAGGTGTCAATAGGTGGTGGTGTCTTTCACAAGGAGCTATACTGCCACAAGGCCATATTTTGAATACTTTTTGATTGCTATAGCCCTTTATCATTTTATATATCTCCCAACAAAACAAAAACCACATACTCACTTGTTGGTTAGTTTCTGATTATCACTTTTCTTTATTAAAGTACATTCAGTAATGATAAAATGTCTTGCAATTCACGTATGAAAACAAAGTTAACGCTATAGGCTAAAATGCACCTATTTCTTTATATCATAGGTAAAACACATTAAGTAAAACGGGTTATTAGTTTTTAATTATAAAAAGTAGCAGTAGAGCTCCCTGTGAAAGAGTTTGTACAGGGAACTACTGCCAGTTTACCTATTTCTGCTGCCATGCAGTAATGTATGCATTACTGTATTTCGGTTTTGAAGGGTAAGGGTGCTGGTGAAATTACAGGCACATGGGACTTGTCAACTTATGTCTCAGGGTGACAGGTGAGTAGCAGTGCCCATCAGATCTTTGCGACTATCATACTAAAGGATCAGGTACTTTTTTTACTTACACAGCAGCCTGTTTAAAGAAATCATAAGCCGAAGCCTTCTTCTTGTATTTCTCCTCAAAAAGCCAAGCTGTTTTCTTGTAAAGCTCTTCTAATTGCTCGGAGCTCTCATAGTGCAACAACTCTGCTACGTGTCTGAGAATCGAGTTCACGGCTTTTGCTTTTGCATACCTCTCTGTGCATTTGTCAATGTCTTCTGCTGATACACGACGTTTTGACAAGTCTATATAACCTGAAAAATAAGATAGTTTCAAGATTATTGTTATATAGTATGCAGTAGTAGAATTTCAACACCAAATCAATTTTATTTTATAAACTACGGTTTTTCAGGTGAGCCAAAAAACTATGTTATTTTTTCAAGTCTGTCTATAACTTTTTACTGTCTGCTGCAATTTTGATTGTGTCTAGAGCAAAGTTTCTAAGAATTTTCTCTTCTTTCATGCTATAAATGAAAGATTTAGGAATAACCAGTGGTTTAAAATATCACGTCCCTTATATTATAAAAAAAGATGTTTAGTTGTGTCTTCCTGCTTACACTATGCTCAACGGTTTGCACATAAAATATTAATAATGTAAGGCACAACTAAACATCTTTTTTAATTTGTTATAATTATTAATACAAAAATCGAACACTCAGAAAAAATTCCTTCAATCCGGCCAGATTCAAACCGACGAAAATTAAATGTTATGTAATTTTTATAGCGTTTAAAATAGCTGTTGGAAAAAAAAAAATTTGAACAACTCAGCTTGTGGCATGTATACGTGTGTCAGAATTTTAATAACACATTGAGTTATTAACTTATCATTCATCATCAACACTATTTATACATTCCACTACTGGGTACGGGACTACTCCTAGGCGAGGGTTTAGGTATTGGCCACCACACTGGCCCATTGCGGGTTGGGGACTTAATACGTTTTCCGAAGGCTGTGAATCTTCGTTGACATGCAAGTTTCATCACAATGTATTTGTTCACCGAAAAGCTTACATAAATTCCGAAAAACTCAAAGGTGCGAGCCCAGTCTCAAACTCGCGTCCTCTGCTTGAGACCACGGCTTCAATTAACTAATGTATTATTAGCAATGTTATCAATTAATTATACTTGTTAACAGAAATATTGGGCTAAAGTAATATAGGACTGGTTTTTTGTTATTGACTCGACAAGAACAGAAACATTATTTACCTTTTTCTTTATCGACTCTGATGACGACAACAGGCTCTGTCTTTCCCACTCTGATCAATTTGTTAATAGATCGGATACGTCGACGCGACAATTCAGACAACAATATCATGCCCTCAATGTTGTTGTATTCGAGCAGGTGTACGTAAGCGCCCATCTCAGCGATCGATCTGACGTTCACCATCACCACATCTTCTACTTCTGGATACTTTTCTTGATAAAATCTACACGATAGTGGCATCTGAAAACGCAACGATTATAACCTATAAGTTTCACTGCAACTTTCATTTTCGAACAAATTATATAGATTGAACAGTAAAATAACTACCTTTGCTATGTGTTTTAGTCTGTTTTATTAAAAAAATATTGGTAATATCGAAATAAATGATGAAAGAATCCACTCGTTCACTTCACTTTTTATTTTTATGGCTCCATCAATATGAGAACTGATGATTTTGCCAATGTCACAGTTGAAAGAAAAAAAAACGAAACAAAAAAAAAATTTTCGCTAAGCTCTACGTTGACCGACTGACAACTTTGACGTTTCTTTATGCATACAAATAGAAAAAGTGACACTGCAACGTTGAAGGAATTTGGTTAGACGTTCGTTTGAAACGGAACGTAATTAAAGTTTGCCATCGTGAGAAAAAAATGGTGGGTTTTTGCATTTTACTTTAAGTATTATTACATTTTGAGTTTCTTATTTGTTACGTGTTTTAAACTGATGGCTCATTAAGTAATTAATAAAATGGCTTTCTTCGTTATTGAAACAAAAACAAGGCACTTCCGGTTCTTTTAGCATACTGTAGTGGCGGGATTTTTAGTTGCATTTGATCACCACGCACCGGTGTAATTCATAATAATAATAATTACTGTTAGCATAATAAATACTAAAAAAATATTCCAAAAAAGCTATTACGATTTGTGTTTATAGTGTGTAATGAGAATGTGACATAAATAAGTCAGACAATATTTAGTTGAAAATGTGGTAATTTAAATAAGCAGTTTTTTTTCATTTATTATTTATAATTTCAACAGTAAACTTATTTATTACTTTTATCATTAATTTGTTCTCTTGCAATACCAGTGCTATTGCAACATAATTGAATATAATAATTATGTCTACAAAATAAATGCTATTATCCATTTTTTAGTTTACATTTCATTAGAGATGTTTGAACAACATAGCTTGAATTTTCAAAACTACTTTATATAGTATTAAATGTATTAATCCTGATCATTTATACCATTCAGGGTGAAAATAAATTTGTGTCGACTAATAGTTATTTGTCATATTGCACGCTCAATGCTAATATGACGCCATTTGAAAAATAATTTATTGGATGATATATTTGATAAAAATAGACGTGCGTTCAAAAAGTAACGTGCCATTTGGTACACTGATTTTCGGTGTCCATAAGAGTTGCTGTGCCACTCAGTGCTTTAAATCCTAAAGATCTGAGGGATACTGGCACTTCGCCTGTCACCGTGAGACATAAATTGACAAGCGCTTCCTTCAAAACCAGAACGCAGTAAAGTTCACATTATTTCTTGGCAGCAGAAATAGGTAAGGTGGCAATATTTGCCTGGACGAACTCTTTAAAAAGGAGCCTACTGCTATTTCTTAAATATTACATCCAAATCAAACACAAGGTATTTATTTATTCTATGGCGAAGCTTTATTTGCTATCGTAGATAATAGAAAGTTATAGTCTCATTTCCTAGGTAGATGTAGACTAACTGATTCTGGTAATAAACAATATTGCTTTTAAATTATAGTTCCTATTAATGCAATACCACAATCAGTGTACCATTTTCTTTTAATTTACTTATTTGTCGTCTTTTTCTAACACCCAATATAACAGCCGGTGCTGACGATCACATTAAAAGACTGTCATGTTATTAATTGAAATATCACTATTTGCAATCTCAGCGCGAGCGAATCTCGTAGTTGAAATAGACTCCGCGCGGAGCGAACAACTCTGAGACTGTAAAAAAGAGATTATCTAAGATAAATTAGTCTATTGTTTTTGTGAATGGGGTATGGAGGGATTTAGGTGAGTTTTTTTTATTTTAATTAATCTTAGTTAATGTCTATTAAATTTAATTATTAGAATGGTAAATAATTAAGGGTTAAAAGTTACGTTAATCCTTTGGGAAGTCGGGAGTTTTATCGAAGACTAGAACTATACTTTAGGATATTTAAACTAAATAGTCAAAAATATATAAGAAACGGGTCCGGGTCTGAATGGCGTATATATTTGTTTTTTTCACACAAACCAACGTAACCATTGGCCCGTGACGTTAGTTTGCTTGAAAAAAAAGTTTCATTTTCTATGTTTTACAATCGCGAAAACCTAACAACTCGATAAAAGAAACCTGTTTAAATAAATTTAGTTTCCATACAAATCGTGGATCGTTGAAACATGTTAACAAAAACTGTTCTTTCTGCCTACTCTTGTTTGAAGTATTGGTATCTGACTACCCAAATTCTTTTGTCACAAGAAATGTCGAATCAAAGTTTTAAAAAGTATAGATTCACATCAAGCATGACAATTTGAACTTTGGACCGTTCCTTATATGCAATAGAGTTGAATTTAAATATTCAGTGTCTAATACAATACATACAATATACAGTGTATATTATTCATAACTAAAAAGCATATTTTATTATTATTTATCACGAAATTAATTTTCCTTAATTAAATAAAGAATGAAAACTTAATGCGGAGGTTGTTATGGTTTTTACTTGATCCTTATTGAGTTAGATCAGTGTATTAGAAGACTCACTCAATTTTCCTTGGTATTTAATCAATGAAAAAAAAAACAATGAAAACTTCATGCGGAAAATTTGATGGTTTTTACTAGACTCTTTTTGAGTCAGAATAATGTAATTAGAATACTCAATTGTACACAGCACGTTGTATTCGCGTACACCACGGATTTAAACCGCCCCTAATCATTTAATTTGAAAGTCAGCCTGATGTTAAGCGAAATCATACCCTTAGTAACGATAGAGTGATCATACGTCAAAAGCGTTTTTATCTTGTGAAATTCATAAAAATAATACGAACTATATGCAACAATTTATGTATGTATGCTTAGAATAATAACGCATAGAAACCTAGTCCGCACACGATAAGTAAGGCAAATTGAAGCGCGCCAAAAGGGCCTACACGAGCGGGCGGGCCGTCAGTGCTCAAGATCAACTTGCACCGTGAACAGCTCAAGAATTTTAGCTAAAAATGACGAAATATGCGGTAAATGAGTGTAAAAATACGTCAGACAAACATAAAATAGATACTAACATCACATTCCACAAGGAAGTAACGCGTTTCAACTTGTATTTTTATATAAATATTCACTAAAACCGAAAATTAACCTACTATTAAAACTAGCCTACATGAATTTGATTTTCGCCTCACTTGTGACAGTTCCTTTGATATGAAACTATCATTCTATGCGTTATTATTCTAAGTATGTATGTGTATTATTAGTATGCATATACTACGCAACGACTTCAATCTGTAGACAAGAACATTCACAGCAACTACATGTTCCAAACAAAGCGCTATCAATTAGTGATCGTGTTTTGTTTCTGTGTTGAATTTTGTCAAACGGGCGTAGTGGCAGTGCCACTCAGATCTTTGCGGTTTAAAGCTCTCGAGTGGTACTGCAATTGTTATGGACAGGCGTGAGCTTACCAACAGGCGCACGACTTGTTCGTCCCGTCAATTGATGTAATAAAAAAAAATTGTTTGTACATTGTGTAAACTCATCTATCTAAAACTATCTAAAATTCATCGAACAAATCCTTTTCCAAAACCATTAATCCACTTCAAATTTAAAAAAAGGAACAGATTACGCAATTAGAGAGACTACATGGTCGGGTATTATCTAACTGCTGGTTTTTATTTATATATACGTACTTCTGGGAATCTAAATCAAAATAATGTTGACTTTAATTTTTTTGCAGGAGACAGATCGCAAAATTGTGTGGTCTATATTATAATGTCATTTTTTTTATTAATACTTAGTATACTATGCATTACTATTTTACTACTATATTTAGTGCTGGCGAGTTAATAAAAACACTGTCTTTTATTATATTTATAGTGTTTTGACATAGTACCATTCCTATAACTTATGTAGCCCTGAAATTTAGAGGTATGAGTGTTTTTGAATTAGATATGGTTTCAGATATTTACTTCTCAAAAAAATACAAATTCAGTTAGCGAGAAATACAAGATATCATTTTCTACAGAGAGTACGCGTTCGTGAAGATACGCATGTAAAATTTGGTGTTTTAGTATAATAATAAAAAACAAAAAGAAGGCCCTCATCAAGTATTGCACATCAATTGCCATGGTGATACATAGGTACAATTACCATATTACACATAGAAATAAAAACATCATTAGTGTGAGAAATTCCTCATGATGTGCAATTTTAATTTCTTTTTGAATAAGTAATTGGAATGACTGCATTTTTTAAATATTTTTCGGTGACTTGTTGTATACTTGACCTCCGCTTTGTATAATTACTCCGCGATATTTACAAATATATAATTATCATTAGCACGCCTGGTTATTCGTTTTTGAATATGTAGATTTTTCAGTAAAATTTATTTGCGAGTGAACATGTACATATATTTCAAATTTTCATAATCAATATGCAGGTGCTATATTTGGACATTTGGGAAACAGTTATTAGTTTTGTGTTCTGGTTAAAGGTTACGGCGGGGGTGATTATAAAAACTACTTTTTTTGGTCTTTAAAAAAAGTTTTTTAAAAGGCCTAGAATATAAAAATATAGTTATCGCCAAATAAAAAAAAATCTCCAGCTTCATAGTTGCATAATAGGTCAATCAAGCATTTTTTAAGCTAACGGCATTTAATATAAATTGCAAGGTGGCTCGAATTATGTCCATGAGTATATTATACTTCCTGAATCTTGTGAAAAAAAATAAAGAAACAAAAAATAAAATTCGAAAACAAAAAACAAAAAACGAATATTGTGAAAAAAGACACAAATACAAAACAAAAACAGAAAGCAGAAACACGTTCTAAAACTAAGATGGCGTAGTGTTCATTAGAGATATCAAAATTAAGAATTGTATTGGCTTAAAAAAACATCTACTGGTTCAAAATTATTGTCCACACTTTTCAACTACTGACTGTATTTTCAATATATCAGATAGGTGGCTTATACTATCTTAACGATGATTTTCTCCTCAGATATTACAACCAATGACAACAACCAATCATTTCAATCGACAGAAGTATGAAATCTTTCATGGCCATATAGGTCTCCCGTAACGTAAGATTAAATGTAAATAAGTGTAAATATATAAATAATTATGTAAACCCAAGGGCCGACAGCTACCTTGCTCAACGCATTAGCATAGCAATACAAAGGGGGAACGCTGCCAGAATCTTGGGCACCTTGCCGCGGGTACCCAATTTTATTCATATAATTTAAAAATCCTAGTTTTACTTTCTACTAATTAAGCTTTTATTGTCATTATCATCGTTATTCTTGTCATACGTTTACCACTGCTTAACACGGGTCCCCTCTAGGGAGAGAAGAGAAAGGGGAGTTCGCCATCGTTTTCCATGATTTTTGGACCGTCTTCGACTTGTAGGTTTTATCTCGATGTTTTTTCTTCAACTTCAGTGTAAACATGCTTTTGTAATAATAATGTAAGTTTGCCTCCCTTAGAGGTGGAATATTTCCTTCTAATTTAAATATGGAGGTACCCTCTTTCCAACAAAAAAAATAATCACCAAAATCGGTTCACAGTCAATGGAGTTATAATGTATACAAAAATAAAAATTACAGTCGAATTGAGAACCTCCTCCTTTTTTTTATGAAGTCTTGTAACCTTGTATACTGGTAGTATACAGTGCGTTTGAACAGAACGCGCTGAAATTGATTGACCGAACAGGACAAGGACGCTATAAAACAAAAGCTTTTGGCAGTTAAATTGACTAATAAAAAATGTACATAGGTTATAAATTTCGTGTACCTACTTAATATTAGACTTATAATTTTATTAGTGCTTGCGTTTTGGTGAAATGGACTCGACTCTATTACGTCATTCTAACTAAAAACTTGTACGCATTGAGAGCGGCACAGTGTTCAAAATTCTTTTATTTTATTCCGTCCTCTAAGGTTCAAAGGGATCCAATTTTTTGTTTTTTTTTTGATACTATTTCTTCCATTGGAAAAGACAAAGGCACTAATGCGCCATACAGCCAAGACTGAGAGTAATCTCTTTCTTGTATTCCATTACAAGAATTATGTTTTATTTATATATGGCAACAACGAGTCATAAATAAATAATAAATATTTTTTTTATGATATCGAGTGCCGGGACGAAGTCGTGCGTCCGGTCTACCTTTAGAGGAAGGAAAAAAGGTATATCCTTTCAAACCAATACACTATGTATAACATCAAAAACAGCATTTTGAAAAAATTGCAAAATTATAGTTTTTTGCAACTTATGAAGTTAACAAAATAAGATACATTTAACTTGTTTTGCACATTAGATATCAAAGAATTCTATCCAGCCATTACAATTTTACTTTGCAATATAATTTCTATTATAAAAACGTAAAAATTTATTTTCACTACACAGCCCAAAGATTCTTGTTGTAATGAAATTATAAAACACTGCACTGCGGCGTGTAGTGTTTTGGTTTGAGACGATAATGAGGGTAAGCGACACGCCTGTCCGTAACAATTGCAGTGCAACTCATCGTTTTAAATCATAAAGATCTAAGAGACACTGCGCCCATCACCTTTAGACATACGTTGACAAATCCCGTGTGCCTGTAATTTTACCAAAATGGTATTAACATTAGAACAACATCACATAGGTCGCATTGATGCCAAGATGTAAGTAAGTAAAGCATGTGTGTTATGGAAATTGGAAACAACTACGGTAGCGCAAACACCCTGACCCGAGACTATATAGAAAAGTTACTTTTTCTACATTGAGTCAGAGATGGTGACACCATGAAAACCGATGTGCAAGCCACAAGATCACTCTTCGCCATACATGAAATAGTGGTTATTTACATGTAGGAATGTCCAATTAAAATAAACCTATGCTAGCAATTTATGAATTATGTACTATAGTGCCACTTATTACGGCACTGTCACTGCACCCGTCACTCGTCGTCAATTTCGCCAGCACCCTTACCCGTCAAGATCGGAGCGCAGCAAGCAGTATTGTGCTTGGCGGCAGAAATAGGTAAGGTGGCAGTACTTCCTTGGACGAACTCTTTCACAGGAAGCTCTACTGCTACTAAATCGACATCCTGTGCTATGCAACTGCGGTCGCATTCTAAATCATTTAGTAAAGGGATTTTTGCTCCTATGAACTTTGGTTCAACAAACACGTTGCACAGAAACAAAGCCATCCCATTTCCAATTATGTCGATACACAAATCACCAATTAACCTTGACCTGTCAATACGATCAATCGAGTTGCTGAACAGTGAACAGCAACACCGATATGCCACCGACCCAGTTTCGCTATGAGATCCCAATAAGACTGTGGGTCAACAAATAATTGACCCACTTCCTCAACCTTCAAGAGTCAATCAGTCTTGTATGTGGTTTGATATTTTGGACGCAGTTTCTAGACTGGAACAAGACGTCTACCTTCCCATTGTTTTATCAATAATTTTGCTTGTAAAAACGACTCTTTCCGGCTATAATTTAGGTCTATTTCAGGCTATATTAAATAGGTATTTATCAAACAAACGCGTAACATCGTTTATATCGTCATTTAATATGACATTGTGGTCAAGCGATCGCTATTTTACATAAAAAAGGACAATTTAAAACAAAGTAATATAACACAAAAATCGTATACACAGATCACATAAATACTTCTTCCGTGATCGTATACAAAGAAAAATTTCTTCGACCTTACAGGATTTTTCTTTGTGTTCTAAATTTGTATTAATAAAATAAACTAGCAAAGTAATATTGTTTCTAATGCTTTAATAAGATGTTCTACTACCATCCTCGATATCTACTACCATGATATTTATTTATTTTTTTGTGAAATTGGTTCACTATAATTATTAATACAAAGTTCGAACACAAAGAAAAATTGTAAATGTATTGTATTTAAATGCAACAAGGACAGTGTCAGACGGAAAAAATCTTTGTCAAAAATATCATGAAGATATTCAATACAAATCAATATCTAGGTACTTATTAGTGTTAACGAGTGAGTGAATAATTACAATATTAGGTAAGTATCGAAATGATTCGTCAAAACCTAGCCTGGAGTATCGCAATACTCCAGTACAACTCCAGACAATAACAAACAAGGGCAGAGAGAGATTGGAGTCATTCGAAATGTGGTGCTGGAGGCGAATGAAAAAAATAAAATGGATTGAAAAGACAACAAATGAGGAAGTTTTGGAAAGGGTTGGGGAGGAAAGAAGTCTTTTGAATGCAACAGATAGGAGAAGGGGAAAAATGTTTGGACATTTGTTGCGTAATGACGAATTTGTAAGAGTGATAATTAAAGTGAGAATAAAAAGGTAAAGAAAGAGAGGAAGACCAAGAATAGCGCACAGTGAACAAATACAAAAGAAGATCAAAGTGAACAGCTATAGAGAGGTCAAAGGACTGGCTATGAACCGTGAGGAGTGGAGAGGGTTACACCGACAAGAGTCTGGCTCTTAAATAAGATGGTGACTGAAATGATATAATTATGTAAATAGAAATGATAGAAACACATAAAAACAGTGCTCTGGAGACCAGCAGACAAAGTCTATCTGACAAAGGGTTGAGTTATTAGCGTAACGTTAGTAGCGTGAATATATTATGCTTTTAAAATTAAGTCGGCAGATATAGGCTCGGTTTGTTTAATGGCGGCACTTTACTACCTGTATTCGCTATTGGGTGGTTGATGTAATTAGAAAAATATTTGACGTACCTACATGCAAACACTGACAAATCGATGCCTTAATTTCTCAAACTTGTATCTTATAAAAAGTGAGGAGATGGCAAAATTTTCTATTTATTTTAAATTTATTATCAAGGGTGTTAATTTGGATGCATTACTTTAAGAATAGGCAAAAGCCAGTTTGTGAATATGAAGGAAATGTGATGTGAAATCAGCCTGCAAAATTTATATAGAATCCATTTTTTGCATTTCTATAACTATGCGCTTTAAGATACAAGTTTGAAAAAGTAAGGCGACAAAATATGATCGTCTATGGAACCAACTAAGGAGTTAAAATAATGAATAAGACCAAAGTGTGGACGGCTTACTTGCGTATTTACCCATTTGACTCCTTTGATGTGCGTCGAGAAATCGACCCAGCGCGTATGGTAACACGATTTTGGTGTTTGCTGCGTTTGCCAAATAAGGCAAATACTTTGTCAAACATACTGTCAAGCATGGTGATTATTTGCCAAATATATTAAACACGCAAATACAAATAGCATGTGAAGTGTCACCATAAGGTTTACCATTATAACGGGTAAAATGGTTTTTGTATAGTACTTTTAACTGCGGAACGGTTGCCATGACGGACTGCTACGTTGAGGTCCCAAATTCGATTCCCGGGCCGGGAGAAATATTTGTGTGGCCTACATTTATTTCTCTCGTGAGTTTGGGTGTAATTTGTGGTAGTCTATGTGTGTGTCCATGGCACCCGCGAAACAGGGTTTCCCTGGTGCGGGGCTATGTTGAGTGTGTGCGTTATTATTATTATTATTATTATAGTAAAGTTAAAAAAAAAAAACTTTTACACCATATTATTAAACTGTTTCCGTGGCCGAACGGTTGCCATGCTGGTCTGCGACGCAGAGGTTCTGGGTTCGATTCCCGGCCTAGAGAAATATTAGTTTGGGTGTGATTTGTGGTGTCCTATGTGTGTGTCCATAGCACCCACGACACAGGGTTTCCCTAGTGCGGGGTTATATTGAGTGTGTGCGTTATTATTATTAAAAAAAGAAATAAAAATAAAGTATTTTCGCTCCTACCGGGTACAACTTAGTGACAATCTGTCCTGACAATCCATCTGTCGTCGTCCTCCCTAACAACATGTCCTGCCCATCTCCATTTTAGACTCGCAAAAAACGTGTCCATGTGAAAAGCAAAAGGTGTTCCAACTAGGTTTTTTTTTACAATATTAAGTTAAGGGACGAGCGAGTCGTGCGCCCGATGGTAAGCTACACGCCTGTCCATAACAATTGCCGCGTAAGTTTCAAATCACAAAGATCTAATGAGCACAGCCACTGCGCCCGTCATCCTGAGACAAAAGTTGACAAGTCCCGTGTACCCGTAATTTCACCAGCACCCTTACCCATCTAAACTGGAACGCAGTAATCTCCTTCACAAGGAGCTCTACTGCTACTAGAAGGGTACAGGTTATCCCTGTTATAAAGCAAAACAAATATCAGCATCAGCTCTGTACATTTTGGTAGAATATAAAGAACATCTACAACTGGATCATCAATCGTCACATCACACATCTAAAGTTGACAGACGAAGGGCAGTGGAACGCGCCATGGTTAGCATTTCCCTCGTCGACCGTATACGTGGAGATACAACAGCGCACAAAACTCGTAGATGACGGTACGCGGATCGCGAGTCTAAAATGTAGATGGGCAGGACATGTTGTTAGGAAGGACGACGACAGATGGACCAAGGCGGTCACTGAGTTGTACCCAGTAGGAGCGAAATTACTTTATTTTTATTTCTTTTTTTTAATAATAATAACGCTGTGTGCGTTAACTCATTATAGCCCCGCACTAGGAAAATCCTGTGTCGTGGGTGATATGGACACACACACACAACGACAAATTACATCCAAACTCACGAGAGAAATAAATGTAGGCCATACAAATATTTCTTTCTTCGGGAATCGCACCTGGGACCTCAGCGTGGCAGTCCGGCATGGTGACCGTTCGGCTACAGAGGCAGTCAAAAAAATTAATATGAGGAATAAAAATAAACTAGCTGCTCTTGACAGCCACAATTTAATTTTGCGGGTGAGAGGTAAAGAGCCTTAAGCCAAATTCTTATTTTTATTACAGAGTGTTTCAAAGAGAATGAGGCTCTAAATTAGGCATTTAAAATCGACCTTAAGAAATGAAACTATTTTTCCGGATTTAATTCGCGTATATTTGTTTTTTCGAACAAACCGACGTTTCGGGCCCTTTACAGGTCGACCTTGAGGTCAATAAAAAACAAACGACGACAATAGTATAATGTCTTCTACCATTGTATGACTTTTAGCATTCTAAAGCTATTTAAGTACTAAGATTTGTTTAGAAAATGATTCATTTTAATGTGACTGTGCGTTTCATTGGTTAAAATAATCACATGATAACGTTAAGATGGCCTATGATTTGTCAATTTTGCGCTGCAGACACGTCTCAGGTTTTTTAAACCATATTCCTGGTGTAATACCATTGACTTACAAATAAATGGACGACGGGTCTAATACAAAAACCACGAAAAAAATGTCCCAAGTCAACCTATTTAAACGTAGTGACATGTAAAGGAATATGAAAAAGCTAAAATGTTGAATTTAAACTGTAATGTCATCGAAGTACTGTGTAATTTTGCTTGCTTGGCTGTCAGAAGAAACAAAAGAAGACTAAAGCGTGAATAACGCTCTGTATACGATTTTAACGCCCTATAAGTTCGGACACTTTTTAGCGCGGACCAGACGTCCATATAATTGTAAGTCAATGTGTAATAAATATCTAATTGTTAAGGGCATTTCTCCAAAGCCGCAGTTTTCTACGTCCATGCACTAAACTCCACTGATACGTCAAAACAAAAACCCACAAAAAAAAGAGAGTATAATGTAGGTTGAAAGCTGGAGAGTACAAAATCTTCCTAATAAACCTTTCGGACCAAATGGAAAAAATATCCGAAATACCTAAAACTTGAGAACAGTGCCGTATTCCGAATGCAGAATCCAACACGGTGCATTTTTCTCAAAATTAAAATCGTATACTAGACTTTAGAATGCTAAATTTCTAAAACATCAAATTCCAAAATATGAGCTTAAGTCCTTTCCTCTCACCTACAGAATTTAAATGGCAATGGCAATGCATGTGCTCCCATAATAAAATTCCGACTGATATTCATTTGCCATTTATACGAGGTTTAAAAAAAATGTGAAACAAAAACTTTACATTAGAACCATTGACTTACAATTATAATTAGAACGTATAGTTTCTGCGTACTTGGAAAACAAAAATCTATGGTAGTGACTTAAGAGGTTCTCAAATGAATATTGCAAATGATTAATGTAACAAATGCCTAAATAGCTTATTTATATTATGCTAGAATTTCTTATTCATTCTTCTCAGTGGAATCTGTCTTGTGAATAAGTAGTAGAATTTGACGATATGTAATTTGCTTACGTAACAAATAATGATTGTTTGAGTCTGTCCTATAAGTACAACTACAACATCAAAATGAAGCCGACGTAATATTGAACATCCAGCGAGTGTTTTGAGAATATTATGAAGTATAAGTAATTCTCAAACATTTATTAGATATTATGACTTAGATATTATTGTAGATCAGATGGACAAAGTAGACTTGCGTGTAAACTTTATTCAAGAAGTAAAACAAACGAATAGAATGGCGTTTGGGTTCCCAGTGCAAATCTTCTTGGGTAGGTATCACAGCTAGAATTTATTTACCTATACCACAGTGTAAAGAAGGAATTACTTAGACTGTGCCTATAATAAAAAAGATTATTTAAAAAAAACTAAAAACCTCGCATGGCTGTATTACTAACATCATAAACAACAGCTTCTGTTCCATGACTTTTTACAAAACATAATAAATTTACCAAAAATAAAGTTGTAAGTTTTTGTTGTATTATCTGACAGTTTTAGATCTGTACTTGGTAGAATAAGCGTCCTCCGCGACGACATCCAACCCCGACCTGCATAGAGTTATTACCGTTTACGGCGATGTATTTAAATCTATTTATTTTTGTATGGACGTGAAATGTGACGAATCATTAAAAGTTATGGAACAAAAGTGGTTGTTTATGATGTTAGTAACATAGTCCTGAGAGGTAGTTAGGCACTGTGGTCGCCCGCGCTCCATACAAATTAGAGCTTAACTCTAGGCATTATAACCGAGGTACATACCAATGTACTTGTAAGCAGCCGACGCTGCATAATGCGCTAAAGTGCATAACAACTATAGGAATAGATAAGGTCTTAGCTTTGGACATTATATTTTGTAATTCATTATTAAATGTCCAGCCTCCAAATCGGTCGAATGTCCAAGTTATTCGTGGTTTTATTTTTAAAAATCTTCAATCGCTCCCGAAATCTTGACTAGGTTGTTAGTATTTTAAAAACAATCCCGTTGTACGGGTCACGTACAAGATTCAGACGCTGAGTTTGCGCCCTACTTTACGTGAATCGACTGATTCACTTTTTATTATAATTTAGTTGATTTAATAACTCTGTCGCAATCGGTCACATAAGCATCCATATAATAACTTGTATTTAAACAAAAATAAACTTTACGATTGTACGTCAACTCTATAACTTAACTAACTACAAACTACAACTAACTTAACTACCTACAATCAAGACGTCAAAGCCCATACACCCGTATTTACCTCTTATTATTTGTGTATGCCAGTGGTGTGTAAGTACTTAAGTGCCTTCGTCGTCTCGTCACTTGGTAGTAAAGAAAACAAGGTATTCTGGTCATGTCAGTCAGTTGTGACCACAGAACAATAAATACAGTAGAAGTGGTTAGTTAGCGTCAGACGCGTGTCAACTATAGGTCGCGGTATGAGTTCAGTCCGCCATTTTCGCTTTGTACGGTATGGTTGTGTCATTCTTTCCTGCAAATTCTCTAAAATCCTACAAACTTGCCTTATTGTGTTGTTTTAGAGTGCAACAATGATAGACGCATCAAAAATATTCCTAGAGATGAAACGAATATCCTATGATTATCCGGCCTATTTTTCTATCCGGCCGGATACCGAATAGTTGAACAATATCCGGCCGAATACCGGATATTTAAAACTGTGAAAAATTCATAATCAATACGCCAAATAAATAGATTTATTGATTAAAGATGATACTAATGGAATATACAGCAACTACAGGATCGTTGACAATCTGTTTGTTACTTGTAACTGAAAGAACTATGAAGTTAGAGATAAAGTTATCTGTAAATTTAGGACACTTAAATTTTAATAAAGGCAAATTATGGTGGATGAAGACCAGTTTTTTTGGATCATGTGGTAAAAGTTGCTGATATTTATTTTCATAAACAGATCCAACATTGCGATTTTTTTACTGTTAACATTTTTCTGTTATGTATTTGTTTGTATTATCGAATAAATTTATATTTTTTATAAAAACTAAGTGACCACAATAAATCAAATCGTCAATGTGAAAGCGCTATCATTCACTAATCAATCAATCACGGTGATGCGCGCTGTAAAGCGGTCGCAACATGTTTACGACAGTGGGTCAGATATCCGGCCATCCGGCCTAGGTGCTCGCCCGATATCACTATCTATTTCATCTCTAAATCTGTGGTGGTATTTCATATCATCGGAAAGCCTTATTTTAATAAATTTAAAATTTTCTGTTTATTGAAATAATTTTTATGTTACAAGAATTGAAAGTAAAGCTTATACCCGTGCAATATAGTCGCTTCTGTTTTGGAGAACTAAATTAATAACTCCAATTCGTTGTCGTTCAGCAAAAACCAATAGATGGCAGTACATTGATTGAAATTTTAATATAATATCAAAACGTCGTAACTTGCAATAATAGGTATTGATGGTGTTGAACTTTCCACGATATGCGAACTGTATTAAAAATCCAGAATTTGTTATTTCTTTTCAAATTTGAAACTACGATCAATCAATATCAAGATTTTGTAGTGTTTCAAATTAGGTTTGTGTGAGTTTTGGCGACATCGGTTCTAATAGAAATTGAGGCGTAATGCACTCCCATAGCTTTTTTCTTCCGTGGTCGTGATAATGAAAAAAAACAAATATACACGATTTTAAATCACGAAAACCTAAGAATTTCGATATTTCTAATAATCACTTTTTATTTCCAGGTTGCTACTCCTGTTTGTCGTCATTTACATAGATTCTACTTGCAATGGAGAGGATGCCGACTATGAGAGGGATGACCTCGAGAGAGGCTTTGAATCTGTAGGTGAGTTATAAATGGACTATTAAGTATACGTATCCCTGCTTGCAAAGAATAGTGGCTCAATCCAAAATAGTTTCTTTTTTTGCTTATTGAGTACTGAGATTTGTTTAGAAAAATGATTAATTTTAATATGACCGGGATATCGAGCTTTTCATTAGTTAAAATAATCACATAAGAACTTTGAGATGGTCTATGTCAATTTTGCGCCGCATCTCAGGTTTTTTAAACCATCTTCCTGGTGTAATATCTAATTTTTAAACGGCCATTCTCACATTCGGTGTTGTCAGCCTAATTATTGTAGCCATTACGGTGTACTCTGCCTAATTACTGTAGCCATTGTTTTTTCTCGCTTATTATATCCAATAACAGTGAAATATGAATAATTTTTTTTTCTTATCAAAATATAACTTTAAACTAAACTGTCAATATGTCTAAATGAAATTGGAATAGACAAAGTAGTTTTCAGACACAGAGTTATTAAGACATGATTAAGACACAAATATTTTATGGAAGCGATAGGTAATTAGAAAGTTCAAACATTCTTAAGAAAACATAAAAACAAAAAAGTAAAGAACAACTAACAAAACATAAATAAATAACTAGATTTCTCATAGATGGCGCTACGACTAAAAAGTCGTTGAAAGACCAAGTACAAAGACACGACGGAAGCACATAGAAGAATTCGTGAGGTCCGTTGGTTCGTTCCGTGGCTTAGTTGGTATAGCGTCTGCCAAGGTATGCAAGAAGACGTCGGTTCGAATCCGAATTCAATTTGAATGAAAACAAGTACTACCAATCTAGAATCAAGAATTGGGTACGCGATGCCATTTTGACGCAATTTTTTAAAAACCGAGTTTTGTCTACAAGGGTATCCAGTTTCAACAATTTATATATTTTAAACGCGGAGTTTTTCTTGGCAAAAACGAATATGATCGATGTAGGTTAGAAGACTTTGTTGTTAGTTTTTTTTATATAAGTTTTTCTGGATAGAAATTAATTTCTCACACCACTACTCGTTTCCAGCCGCCCCGGTCCAGTTAGTGTCAAATTAATTATCATTATGATTGATTACAAGTTAATTTTGATACTTAGTTCTTTGAAGTTCCAATGTCGCCACTAAGAGTAGAATTTCTATATGATGCAACAGTTTAAGAAGCGCCAAATAACTAACGAAATGTAAAAAGTGTCTTTTAAATTAATAATAGGTGATTTATGATAAAAACTAACAATAGTTTTTGGTAGAATATAAATGGGGTTGGTAGAGGATTACGTCAGCAAGATTTTTCGGAACTGTCAGTATTGCATTCGGTTGTTTCCGTATGTTTTATTGCACAAAAGTTATCGGTAGCGTAATAAATAACGCAGAAATGTTCTTATTTTAAATAATCCAGTTTTAAATTACTTTTCACTTCTTATGCTCTTAAAGTTCGTATTTATGCTGGGAATAGGCTGCATAAATTAGGATTTTATGCTCTCGTGCATAAAATAAAATCGTCGTTTAAGACCGAAGCGATGACGCCTGCGCCAACAGCCACGCACACTAGAACTTTATAAAATAAAGTTTTATTTTTATTTTTTTAATCCGTGTAATATTACAAAATTAAAAAAGTAGGCAATAGTAATTCTAATAAGTTATAAGAAATAGAAATGCATAAAAAATAAAAGCTTGTAAAATATAACAGAGCATTATGTAGTCCGACCTGAGTCACGTGTAGAAAAAAAGTAGTATATTGGAGGGATTGTTGTAATTTTACATTCAATTTTAATTAAATAATCGTTTATATGTAATATTGCTGTTTAATTTCCTCGCAATCGAAATGAAAAGCAGAGTGTATATACTCGTTCATAAAACCCATTTTACCTTCGACTTAAGTATCCATCCTCGTCCGCGGCTCGGGTGGATCAAAGATCAGGAAAAATGACGCCTTTTAGGCACTTGTTGTACAATCTACTATTTCGGTGCTTTTAATAACTTTAAAAAAGGTTATAACTAAAGTTTTCGAATATGAAGTTCTGGGAATTGAAAGATTAAGATATTTTAAACCATATAAATGAATAACCATTAATAGAAAAAATTCCTTCGATCCGGCTGGATTCGAACCAATGTCATCCAGCAGACCGACGCCATCTTTGATTTTGGTTTTTAACAACTTTCTTGCCATTTTTGACACGTTTTGTTGGAAGACGTTGGTTCGAGTCGAGCCGGATCGAACGAATATTTTCTTAATGTTCGATCTTTGTATTAATTTATAACGAACGAATGGACGAATGTCACAAAAATAATTGGATATTATGGTGGTTGAACATCGTGACATTCAATAGATTTAAAAAATATGTAAATAAAAATAGTCTTTTTATCGATCGACGTATAAAGTTTTCTGGACAGAAATGAAACTCTAGTGACTGTTATAAATTATATTACAAGATCTTTTCATTATAAATCCAAACAAAACAAAACCAACCACGCACTTTCTCGTCAAATATGTTTTTCGCAATGGCGGCCGCCCGTTACCGTTCCGTTAATTCGATGATGATAGTATCGATTTATTTCTTATTTCCATAGAACTAATTCCTAAAGAAGCGAAGTAAGTTTTCTAACAAAATAAAATAAATTAATGTCACGATTCACTAAAAGATGGCGTACACTATAATGCTTACCATCGTGGTGAAAGAATTTCGCAATCCCCATGGACGAATGGCATAAGTGGAGTTACGCCAAACATGTTTATTGCTCTATTAGTTCATAGACTGTCTCCAATTCTTGTAACACTATCTACAATATTAGTCGCTAGAGTTACAATTACTGGAGAGGATATGTATATATTTTAACCGACTTCAAAAAAGGAGGAGGTTAAACTTTCCGCTGCATGTATGTTTCCAATTTCTCAGTCAATTGTGGGCCGATTTTGAAAATTATTTTTTTGTTTGTAAGGGTGCACTCTCATGGTGGTCCCATTGTCACCAAGTCAGAATCTGATGAGGGGATCCATGGAAATCGAGGAAAACCATCAAATTGTATAGGCTTGTCAGTGTACTTACAGATTTCTCCACCAATTATATATTTCTATTTCACATTATTGCTATTTCTCCGCCGATAAGTAAACTTTTGAAGTCGGTTTTTTTAATGAATAAGTTACGATTATTCTGTATCTAATGAAGCAATAGACGTTTTTAACATAACTCCACTCATGCCATTCTTCCATGAGGGGTAGAATTTGCTAATAGGCGTAAAGTATTCGCTGATTGTTGACCAGGGTGTGCCACATGTATATGAAAGCTTTAGTTAATTCATAATTATTATTCATTATAAGAATTATATGGAATCACACTTGTTTACAACTACAATATAAAGTGCAACAAATCGTACATAAGTTTCGTCCACTTTGTTCCGTGCCATGTGTTCCCTGTTGCCGGATCCACTGAAAATCAGCGTCGTAGCACTTCCAGTGAGACGACACCAAGCTGAGTGGATGACGGATTCCGTAACAGCACAGCACGCACTTTTTATGGCTTGTTACTTGTTTATTTGTTACAATATTAATACTTCTTATTTGTGTAATATGTGCACGTGTAATATTTAAATGTTATGCTTTAGTCTTTCTTTCCGTCTTATGTTATGTATCGTACAATTTAAATATATGTGTACTGTGTTGTTTTCGTGAATAAACAATTTCTATTCTATTCTATTCTAAAGCTATAGTACCTACCCACGTCTTGCGGGGAGGCTCCTTTCGTGCACGCCCGTCATATAAATATTGATGTAAGGCGGGAGAGTGGTTATTTCTTAATTTGGTGGGTGATGGTTCGAATTCGTTCGTCGTCATTTACTTTTATGAAAAAAAAACATAATAATTAGAAAAATATTTCAAAATTTACTTTATCTAATTTCAAACGCTAAAATTTTTGTAGCAGTAGAGCTCTTTGAGAAAGAGTTCGTCCAGAGGTACCCTCTCACCTTACCTATTTCTGCCGCCAAGCAGTAATGTCAGCGTTACTGTGTTCCGATTTTGAAGGGCAAGGGTGTTGGTGAAATTACAGGCACATGAGACTTGTCAACTTATAACTCAGGGCGACGGGCTCAGTGGAAGTGCCCCTCAGATCTTTGCGATTTAAAATTCTGAGTCTCAATTTAAGGCACTGCAACTATTAAAGACAGGCGTACAGCTTACCATCAGGCGCACGACTTGTTCATCCCGTCACTTGATAATATAAAAAAAAAGATGACACATTGGCCCGAATCATTTATTGCGTCCAGCGGTACCGACGACGTTGTTATACGTGTCGCGTCTTCATTACTCCACCAAGTCTGCGGATATTGTGGAGTACATGCGAGTGAAGGCCAACGCAAACCTGAGGGTCGAGCGGTTGGAGTCGCGCCACAATGTATATTTTAATTCATTTGTGGTGCGAGTACCAACTCAACACCTGTCGACCTTCATGAGAGAAGACTTTTGGCCGAAGGGTGTCATGTACCGGCGTTTCCGAGGACGGCTACCGGACACCCACGTTGCGTCACACGTCGAAGTACATACGTGTAAATAAATAGTATTATATGTATATTATCATGTTATATTGTATTTATGATTAGTCCGTAAGGTATTTATTTAATGTTTCTGTTATTGTTTTATTATATTATTGTTATATTATATGTATGTTAGTCTGTAAGGTATGTATCTATGGGTCCTAGTTGCCTGAAATAAATAAAAAAAATAAAAAATAAAATAACCTGCGGTCGCCAACTTATCAGCCGCTTTCTTTTTTGGAGAGACTTTAGACAAACATTTAGCAATTAGGATACGCAATATGATGTTTTTTACCCTTAGCTTCTGACGTGTTTGTTTCTCTTAAGTGACTGCAGTCCATTTATGTCTCCGGGTGACGGGCGCTGTGGTAGTGCCCCTCAGATCTTTGCGATTTAAAGCTCTGAGTGGCACTGCAACTGTTATGAACAGCAGACGCACGACTTGTCCGTCCTGTCCCTTGATATTATAAAAAAAATTAAATAAATTTTAAAAAACGGCCTTATCTAATTTCAAAGACTAAAATTAAAAATTTTCATCTCAAGCGATCTTTATGGATGAGGCTTGCTATTAATGTCCACATCTTGGCTCTATTATCTATAATTTCATAATATAATGTCTGCCCTTATACTTGAACAAAAGATCTCATATAACAACATTCCTTTCGCTTAATACGAGTTTAGTATTGCTATAGTAAGACAATTGAATATCGAGACATTTCGCCAGGTATTTCCCACCAGTCCCATATCTTTCTACAATGATTTTGTTTATAGTACGCCTCCCTTTCAACCTCTTGGTTATGCGAGCGAACCCGCGCAGGGACCATCTAAGTCAGGTCCTAGCCCCGGATCAGCACGTTTGCACGTACTTCATCCGGTTCTCTGTAAGGCCGTAGGTGAGGTGCCCCGGGGGCATGTACAGCACCCGCCCTATTTTCCAGATAGGTACCGGAGCTGTCGGCACGCTCACTTCCCGCCGCGCTCCGCACGACTAACGGTTGCCACCGCTGAGCTGCCAACTCTAAGTCGACTACCAAATCTCCTCATTGGTGGCGGAGCTGTAAGGCACGCTCACTTCCTAAATTCCGGAGGGACCGGAAGATGCCAAGCTCATCCTGTACTGGCTGTCTGGGTTAGTGCCGTAGAAGTCACGTAGCAGTGTCCTGCGACAATGTCCAAACATAGCTACCGACTTGAAGAGCAACTCACGTGTCCCGCGCGTTTCCTCGCCTAAGATCCTCAAGTAGACCGCTACTAAGACGCGCTAGCTGCGAGCGGGACGAACACCCAAGGGGCCACACACGACCGGGGCAGACGAACGTGTTCGTTCCCTGCAGCTAACCACAAACCCCGGCGAGTCAATACCCAAGACCGGGTCCGCCAGAGACGCTCGTGAAGGCGTATAAGTGGCGGAGAGCTTGACCCGGACGCCAAGCAAGAAAACGAAAGACTATATAAAATATAATGTACAAAAAAGATTTGTAGCGACTATTGCGATCCGTTACAGTTACATACATATATACATACATACATATAAAAGGCCTGTAAGAATTTTAATTCATTTGTGGTGAGAGTATCATGGAGTAATAAGGAGTTTTGACCAAAGGGTGTCATGTACCGACGTTTTTGAGGCCAGTTACCGATATCCGCGTTGCGTCACACGTCGCAATCGATACGTGTAAATAAATCAAATCATTTATTTCGCATCAATAAGTCCATACACATTACATAATAAAAAAATAAAAAATAATAATTAATTAAAATTTAATAATTAGAAACATAAATAAATTAATATAAAACAAGACCAATCTCATTGTTATTCAAGTAGAATTTGACAAATTACATTATAAACAAATCATCAAGATGTAAAAATAAATTAAATTAAACGTAAAGCTGAGTCCGGACCAACCAGACGGTGCAATCAACTTTGGCCGGTACAACAGTCAGAATAACTATGTATATTAGTCTATAAGATATGTATTTATGGGTCTATGTCATCTGTTTATAAATACATACGGACCGAGGTTTCAAAAAGGTTTAAAATTAAGTGCCTGATAAAAACATTCAACACAAACACAGTTATTTTACACGGTTTAATCTTCACTGTAGGGCTAGCACAACAGGGCGCGATACGCGCGAGAGCGATATAAAGCGTGGGATACTGCTATTCTCGCATAGACATCCCGCGCGGTATGTCGCTCTCGCGCAAGTCGCGCCCTGCTGTGCTAACCCTACTGGGTTTGCGGAGTGGCAAATAAATTTACTGTCATTTTGTTATGTTCGATATTTCGAGAGGTATCCGTAACGCATGCCTCAAGCTAACCCTCTTTTCAATTTGGACAGTACAGGATTATTTTACTTTTAACACAACCATCGCCTTTTGATAGCAGTGCGTAGTAGTATTTAGTACTGAGATTACCAATGGGTTATTTTAAGTGCCATCTTAGTAGTAAATCTGCCAAAGGGCACCTTTTGGGAATACTTAGTACTCTGCCCATCGAAGGGTAATTTTTGGATCAAATTAAATACTCGGTCCACCAAAGGACAATGCTGGGGAAATTTTGTATTCTGCTTACCAAAGGGTAATTCTTGAGTAAATTTTCATGGTGTCACCATCTCTGACAATCCGGGTTCAATCACGGGAGGATCAGTGTCGAAAAAAACAAACTTTTTTATATTTTCTGGGTTCTGACTATTTCTGGTCGCTGTTTCTGATTTCCATAACACACGTGCTTTAGTTACTTACTTTGGGATCAGGGCGACGTATGTTGTCTAATATTTGTATTTATTTATTTATAGATATTGTGTTTAAAAGGCTTTTTTCTTGCCATCAGCGCCGTTTGTAAAAAAATTGTGTATTAACAATAGCCAATATTCTATCTTACAGAACAACTCAGACTCCAATCAGAAATCGTCTTCACACAACAATCGGACGAGGCATTTGCCCCTTGCTCTCCTATTCGACCAGGCGACGTGGACTTCCAAACAGTGGACCTGATTGCCGTGTACCGGTTGGACCAGTTGAATACCACTGGTATTACGCTGGTACAAGGATCACAGGAGATGCAGAGAGCTTATCGAATTGGCGATGGCGCTAACTTAAGTTTACCTTTGAAGTAAGTGCATTAGAATTATAACTTTTTTTGGACTTCATGGGTTCATTTTACCCCTTTTTTTTCATGACAATGTTTTTATGATGCCATGTGACGGACGAACAAGTTGTACACATGGTGATAAGCAACACGCTTGTAAATAACACTTGCAATGCCACTCAGAGCTTTAAATCGCAAAGATCTGAATGGCACTGCCACTACACTCTTCACCCTGAGACATAAGTTCACTAGTCCCATGTGCCTGTAATTCCAATAGTATCATTAGGTACCCTTCAAAACCGAAATGCAGTAATGCTCACACTACGAACTGTTTCACAAGGAGCTCGACTGCCTCTATATTTTTCATGGGATAAAAGCACTTTTTGACGTATGGTCAGAGATGGCTTTATTATACGAATAACCCTTGGACACCAATTATTTCCATATCATATATTACATATAATATCAAAAATACGTTGGTCTACTAAATCAGAATTTTCCCGGAACTTCCATGGGGACCAATGAATCTTTTCAGAGTTGGTGGAGTGAAAATGAACATTCCCAGCTTTGTTGCCGACCGCTTTTTAGTACAATCAAGGGCACACCAAGCTCGACACATTGGACTTTGGACTTATTACAAAGGGCGTAGAGTTGAATGTTATATGTACAATCGTCCTTTACAACATTTATAAACAAACTAACAATTTTAACTACGACTAGTTCGTTCCGTCACCTTATATATTCGAGTCTCTTTTTGTGTTATTTATTTTATTTTATTTCTTTTCATTCATATTACTTTTTCTGCTTGTATCTTGTTAGCGTTGCAATAAATGGTTTCTATTCTATTCTATACAAATAGTCAATTAAACGACAAAATTGTAAATAGTTTGTCAGATTATATGCAGAAAAAAAATGGCGACTTAGAGTTTTTACTTTGATAAACAATTAGTAGAAACAGGGGTTTAAATAGTAACTGAACTTGAAAAACAAAATCTGTTTGTCGTAAGACTTGTCTTTCGCATTACTCAATAAGCCGGGAGAATTTTTAAATACAACCATTAGTCAAAGCATCGAGTACTTATATAACCAGAAATGGGGAGAAATAAAGGCCATCCATCCCCAGCAACTCATCAGTCAAATGGTACTGATGTCACCTTTAAATATATCACTCTCGTTTGCGCTGAAATCACAAATTAGAAAGCTGAAATATTACAGTGCTGAGCAACTGATCTCTGTGTACGTCTCTGTATATTCCAAAAATATTCTGTATTTATTGTAATATGTCTCTAACTATGGGGGTTGTTCCATACGGTGGTATGGGAAAAACAGCAAAACATCTAATTACAAAACAAACGGTATCACATTTAATCGGAAATAAAATTTTATACTACTAATTACGTTATTCACACATGTCGGTATTTCATAATGAAGCCCATAAATTGCCTGTGACACGTTGTGACGGCACCGTGTAAGATAACATGACGCATCGTTCTCGGAATCAGTCGATTAGAGTTTATTAAAAACTAGAGGCACTAGTTATGGGTCTCGTTAATAGGCAAATATATACCTACACTAAATGCACACTATGTTAAGCAAGGAAAGGAATACATTGGGTGTTCTTTACTGAAATGTACTGCGCCAAAGAGGTATGAAAGTGAAAATTAAGATAACCAGAGCAAATAAGGTCCTCCTAACTTCAAATTCAATTATTTATATGATTTAAGGTTTGAAATAATTCAACTAAACTAAACACGTAAAACTTCATTTGTTTCTAAATAAGAAACAGTAAAAAGTCCCTCAGTTTTTGCAGTTTATTAAAACTCATATTTCAAATAAGGCCCATATAGTAACCTAGTCATTCATCGCAATTATACACCTCAACAAGAATAGAAATATATAAAATACAAACCTTCTTAAATAACTCAATCCTTTAAAGCTAAATAGAAACTATGACTCTCAATATTTAAAACAAAATTTGATGTTGTTGATGCCACCGCGTTATTGCGTGCTAATTGGTCCATAGTCCATTCTGTACATGTGCGTATAATTTCGTGTCGTTGAAATTAATTTAAATCTACTTTAGGATTCCCTGGCCTTATTATCCATAGGGCTTTAATTGACTAAGTCACCTTTTTATCCTTCAACTATTGCAATGTTAGTCAGATTAGGTAGTGACTCTATTTGGTTCGTTTGAAGGCATTACTGAATAGATACTTTCTAGATGTTTATACGTTTGCCTATATCAAATTTGAAGCCTCTAGTGATCAGAAGGCTTATGGCTACTTCAGCCAAAGAGTAAACTTACTCAACCACAGAGGAAACATTGCCAGTGAGCATGATGGCGTCAACGATTTTTGAAAATTTTACATTTTGCCATTGCCTTTTTTTTTGCTTATTTTTTATTTATTTATTTGTATTCAGGTTACAAAAGACCCATAAATACATACCTTATAGACTAACTAACATGATAATATAATAGAACACCAACACTATTTATTTATTTAGACGTATGGACGTATGGACGTGTGACGCAACGTGGGTGTCCGGTAACCGTCATCGGAAACGACTCTTTCACGAACAATTAAAATTTACACTGTGGTGGGATTAACATTTAGCACACTTAATTATTATTTCCTGTATACTTACTTTTACATTAAAATGATTTTTAACTCACTAGCTCGGAAAGGCTTTTTCTCATTAAAAAATAAAAGTACAAGCACGAATAAAAATTGATGAGGTGTAAATTTAGAACGTATCCGAAGATAAACTTTTTCTTCTGATTAAAAAAACTGATGTCATTTTCAACTGTTTTTCTTTCATCTACCATTTTCCTCGCTAATAGTGAGGTGAAAAGTTGTGTTTCGCTCGGCAGCAAAGTTGTTTTACGTCTCGTGGCTTGAAACCCTCGCTACGCTCAGGAATCTGTTTTAACTTGGCTTCCTTTGCATGCTCAGGTTTCAATACAAGCACTTGCGATAAACAACAACTTTGCAACCTTGCATAACAAACAGCTATTGTGTGTAGTGTAGCAGTCGTTTTAATATCTAATACAAGAATATTTGACTGTTTAGCCTGTTCATGGACGTAATCGTTACTTAACAATTAATAACAAGTCGACGACCTCTGTGGTCAAGTGCCTTGCGCACCGATTTTCAAGATCTCGCCATCTCTCAAGTCCCGGGTTAGATCTCCGGCCGATGATTCTTGTAAAAAACTAATTTTTCTGTATTGTGTTTGATCTGGGTGTTTGGGATACCGTCGTTGTTTTCGATTTCCATAACACAAGTGCTTTAGCTACTTACATAGCCTTGAAGAAGGAACTCTTGACCATATGTTTTTTAACAGTTTATCGTATCCTGTTTGTATGATCTTCTTCCAAAATCTATCCCTTGTCTTACATATTTCTGTAGTATTCTTTCTCCCCGTAATCCTCCTATTCTCCGTATCCTATTTGAATCTAAACTGCCTCCAGGGCCGAACGGCTACCATGCCACTGCCACGCAGCGGTCCCAGGTTTGATTCCCGGGCCGGGAGAAATATTTGTATGGCCCACATTTATTTCTCTCGTGAGTTTGGGTGTTATTTGTGGTTGTTTATGTGTGTGTCCATGGCACCCGCGACACATGGTTTTCATAGTGCGGGACTATGTTGAGTGTGTGCGTTATTATTATTATATTATTATTATTATCTAAATATATTGATCAAAATAACATACATCCTCAATATTTATTAGCTACCCTGCATGTTTTTGTAGTTTTCATAAGTAGCGTCCTTTTCATGTATACTGCTTTAGTAGGTACAGGGATATTCTAGCTCAATGAAACAACGTTTGTTTGCTTCACGCACACGTGCGATACACGCCCGCTTACACCACTATCGCACCCCGGACACTCGATACAATGGTCGAAAGTTATTTACCTACTACTACTACATGCAGCAAGGCGCCATCTGCACACGCGCAATGTGTTAGTGACGTGACAAGGTTACCCGTCACTTTCTCGTACAATTTACGTTACTGGGGCCTTACCATGAACTCTTATTACGATTCAGTTTAGGACCTAAAATGAATTGTTGTGAGACAGCGCTACATGAAGTGTATATCACCATCCCGCTTTTTTGTCGTTACGAACTTATACTGACCTGTAATAAGAAATCGTGGTAAGGCCCCTGGTCAGAATAGCAACAGAGCGAAAATTCTTAAGCGAATCGTTTATCTTTAATTATATTAAAAGAATCCTAATAATTACACATGTTCATTAGATATTAATATCGATGTAATTATATTTTTAATGTATTATATTTTTCATTAATTGAGTAACTAAAATAATATTGAAGATTTATTTAAAAAATATATTAACAGCACTTAAAAGATTGTATTTTGGACAGGTTTTAAATAAGGTAACCAAGATATTTGAAATTGCGTGTCCAAGTTTATCATTACCTAGTCAATAATTAGGTATATTCACTACGTAATATTTATCGGCAATACATATTGAAAATTCGAGAACCTTTGTCTACTAATTGACGAAATTATGGCGTCTCATTATATTGATATAATAAATCTGTATTAGACATTACTCTGCACTAAATAAAAGAAGAAAACAATAACTGAATGAGTTTCAGACAAGTTTTTGTCATCTTCGTTTCATCTTTCGGAAAACTAAAGAAACTCCTCTCTTTCTCCCGTTTAGTTGATAAGAAACAGCCGTATAGAGCACAATTCACGACCATTCTATATAGTAATGTACAATGATGTTATGTATTAATGTACAAGTTTCGTGATAAATAAATGAAAACTATATTCAAATATCAAAGTCGTCTTGATGCGAAAACGGCTCGCCGACAGCCTTGTTGTCGTTCAGTCAATGTGACCGTCAACGTGCGGGTCGCGGTGCGGTATTTAAATCTAGGGAGGGGCGGAGAGTGTCCATTCTCTTACTTTTTTGTTCTCTGCCTCTGTCTCATGTAATCATGGCGGGAACGGCGGGCCGCAGTGTAACTTATATTGTGTATTGTCTTTGGTATATTATGGCAAAGAGTTAGACAAATTATGTACCTCGTGTTTTGTTTTTGTCCGTTGCATTGTACAACCGATCATTGTCGTTTGAGTGCGTTCCGGGTACAATTTTCACGTACCGAACCCGGACATTGGTAGAAATGTCCTCAGTAGAACAGAAGCCAAAACCTACAAAAATTTAATTGAATTTGGAGCAAAGCAACGTATGTGATATTTATTTATTTATATGTAAAAAGCTTCCTAGTAACCTAGTCTGAGGGTAAAAATGCAGCTTAAAAAAAGAGCCATGCAAAAAATATAGCTAACTTTTTATTAACAACCTGCTGTACTAGTTCAGGAAAACTTTAGAGTTCAGAACGCGTGTTATCAATTCGTGATCTTAGTTTCTGATTTATTTAACAAATGTTTAAAGAGTTCATCCGGCTGACACCGGATGTCTAGCTCTAATTACAACAGATGCACAACCGCAACGTTTCGGAGAATTAATATCAGACAGGGTCCATGTCATGTTTCAATATTCTACTGAGATTGACCTGGTATGGTAGGTTCAATGTAATTTAGTTCAGTGGATTGATTTAGAAGTTTAAGAACTTTAGTTTAACCTTAGAACCATGGACCAATCAAGAGGACTGTTAATCGATAATTGAGTATGAGCGTTATTACAGATCACAACTTATATTATTATATAGGTTGAAATTCAATTCAATTCAATTCATTTATTCATTCGTTATTACAGGTACATGATATAGATGGTAATAATAATTTTATGGAATCTCTGCAATAAGCCAAAGTGGCATACGAAGTCAATTAAATAAAAATGTAATGTCAAAATAATAATAAAAGAAAAATGGATACAATGTCAAAAAACTAATAATAATTAACAAGTCTAAAAATATCAATAAGTAAATGGTACCCAACTGTCAGCATTTACCTATTCTAAGAAACTGTCATTAAAATATTCTTCTATGCTATAGTAACACTTGTCAATTAATAATTGTTTTAATACATGCTTGAATTGCATCCCACTAAGATTTTTTTATTGCGTCTGGAATTTTATTAAATATTTCGGGTGCCATATCAACAACGCTATTTTTGTATAGGGCCGTTTCACACATACTCGTATTTCTTCCGACCATATATTTCCTGGTACGAAATAAGTGCGCTTGTGAACTTACTTTTTCTGGGAATTCCGAAAAAATTTCGTCTTATATCTACATTTTTTTATTACAGAGATATTTTCCCCAACGGCCTACCTCCCCACTTCAGCGTAGTAGGTACATTCAACACGCGAGGCCTGCAACGTCGCTGGAGTTTACTCAAAGCAAGAACCGACAGTTTGCAGTTCTCTCTCTCGCTGCTGCCTTCCCAGAAGAAAGTTGGTGTTTTCGTACAAGGGGCGAAGGCTATGTTCTTAGCTCCGAAGGTATGATGCTTTAACCGAGGAATAACAAACAGAGCCGTATTAGCCTAAAGTATGCACCTGTTTGGTGTATTATACTACGTTTTGGCATCAAATGCTATTATAATGAAAATTGATGCAATGATATAATTATCTATTGTCGTTCTTTTTTGTCAGGGGGCATTATGTTCCCAGTAGTTGATTGAGTGAATGTACGGGTACACAACCCTGGCACTCCAGCTTCTATTATCGTAAACCATATTCCTCCATGATAATAGAGTCCTTTTTTATCCAATACCATCCATACCGCCTCGGCCTCCCTTTCACACCACGCCTATCCACGCCTCTTCCTTCTTCCCTTCAGCATCCGCCAATCTAAGGTCTGTAAATAAAATCCGGACATTTTTCAATTGAGCACGATAATTATTATTTATATTTTTAATTTATTGAGCTTGGCTACATGATCATCAGCTTAAAACTACATAACAATAATTTTAAGAGAACGGAGTAAACCTAAACACGAAAATGTAAAAAAATAATAATAAAAATAAAGTACTTACAAAGGGTAAAAATTCAAAATATTAATATATATAATACCTATTATACCTACTATATTATAATGCTAAATAATACCTATTATACAAATTGAAATTTTTTAAAGAGTCCCTGTACAATATTAGGTAAATTATCTGTATTTATAATATCTTTGTTTATACAAATAAATAACCATCGCTGGAGATTAAAAAATGGACAATTGAAAAATAAATGATTGAGACAGGCAAGAAGCGGAGGTAACAATTATTCGTTTATTTTTTTTATTTCACATTAACCGTTATGAAATAATATTTGGAGGGAAGCGATTGAGATTATGTTTAATATATATTTTTTTATCATTAATCATCAATGCGTAAATTGTACTCATACTTATTTTTAATTCAATCGGCAAAGAAGATGCGTGGCTAGAGCGAATTTCGGGCATTAAATAGTCTTAGCTCGTCATTCGGGGCTCTGACGGGGTGGATAATGTACTTCCCTAGCTAAACGCGGGATTCAAATATTCTAGGGTGCTCTTTTTTTAACGCACCCAGATTACACCAGAGAAATTAATGTAGGCCATACAAAAATATTTCACCCGGCCTGAGAATCAAACCCGAGACCTCTGCGTGGCAGTCTAACATGGTAACCGTTCGGCCCCGGAGGCAGCTTTGTGATCAAGTTAGTTGGCCACTGTTAACGTGCCAGCTATACTCGAGCCAAGCGGGATGTGGGGAACGGATGGCAAACACCCGGACGGAATGACTCTCATACTTTGGAGTATGGGCCGGGCACTGGTGTGGGACGCTACATGTGCCGACACACTTGCCCCATCCCATCTCCAGCACACCAGCAAGAGGGATGGCTCCGCAGCTGAGCTGGCGGAAAGAATAAAAAGTAATAAAGGTGGGAACGGTGCCAGTATCTTGGGCACCTTGCCGCTGGGACCCAATTTTATTCATATAATTTAAAAATCCTAATTTTACTGTCTTTTTTACCTTACTTGTTATGTTATCAAATAAAAATAATTAAAAAGCATAATAAATTTAAAAATATTAACCCTTAATAACAATAGCGTGAGAAGGAAAATTAAAATTTTGTAAAAAACATTATTATTTTACAGCTATTCTCATCGGGCTGGCACAAAATCCACGTAGCGATCACCAATAACACCGTACACCTTGCTGTTGATTGCATAGAGGTTAGTTTTATGTCATATTATGTCGAAAAAAAACTTTCATTCAATTGTTTGAAAAGTATTTATTTTCAAGTTCAAAAGTTACTCATACCTGTGTGATATTTTGTCAGTTATTTGACAGTCATCGAGTCGAAAACGGCACTTTACAAATCCGAAGGTAGCCGATTATGGCCGATGGTCCTTTTTTATTGTGTACGTATTATAATCACAGAACAATAAATACAGTAGAAGTGCTTAATGCATGAGCCAACAGTACGTGGAGTTCCATATAATTGAGTTCAGTCCGCCATTTTAGCTTAGTAGTAAAATGTCGTAGAAAAATGCCTTACTTTGCTACTTTGGAGTGAAAAATGTTAGTCCCGCTCGTAATATAATCCACGGTAGTGTTTCATATCATCGTTGTCTTATTTTATTTAATTTTAACAAATTTTAAATTTTCTGTTTGACGTAACATTTTTTTTTGTAACGAGAATCGAAAATAAACGTTATTTCGCTTGCAATATGATTGCTTCTTTTTTGGTCAACTAAGTAAACATCTTGAATCCGTTATCGTTCTGCTATTGACCGCTAGATGGCAGCACATTGATTGAAATCTCAATTATTAATATATAAAATCAAAACTTTAAGCGATATGCCTATAGAGTAAAGTTTGAATTATATTAATAGTCCAGAATTTGTTCCATCTTTATATATTAGGAACTGCGAAAATCATTATCCAGATTTCATAGTATTTAAATTATGAATGTGTAAGTTTTGGTGAAGCAGTTCTGATAGTAATCGTGGCTTAAGGCTCTTTCAATTGTTTTTTTCTTCCGTGATTATAATACAGTTGTAAGAAAACCGGTAAATTTCTGTTATGGATTCACAGGCAAAATAATCTATTGCTACTTGCCCATCACTAATACCATATCCATTCCATAATAATTCCCATATCGCTTATATTTGTAGTACAAAAAAGAACTAACAATCTTTTGTTAACAGTTTTACTTTGAACAGCAGGTTTTTATAACGTTTACAGCTGAAGCCGGAGTACATAACCGGTCACGATCTGAGCAACGCCACGTCCATCACTATAGTGTCCAACGAAGACGGCACACCCGCTCCTGTAAGTTATATTATACAGGATCAAAGGTACAGTCGGTGCCCTAAGACACTTGACCCCTAACTGTCTGTTTGTTTCTGAGTAGATCATTGTAAAGAAAGGTGTTAAACAACTTAGCCTTTAACCTGTGAGTCTTTTTGCATCATTAGCGAATGATGTTTTACAAAACTATTGTTGAATGCGTAAAAAGGCTCTGAGAACCAAAAGGTTGGCTTGGCAGTCAGGTATCTCAGGGCGTAGACTGTATGTCAGGCGTCTAAATTCAAAACAGCTGAAACACCTGAAAGGCCGTGTCCACGCTTCCGGCTTCCACTTTGTTGAACTGTTTTCGTAGTTATAAACCTCTTTGTTACCTGCTTCCACTTGGGACAGTTTCGTAGCTGCATTGCCGTAGACCATCGCGTAGCACTGCATTTTCTAAGTTGCTACATACATAAATAAATCTCTAGTGACACTCGAGATTTCATATTTCATTTGCAGTACGCCCGACAACTATATGGGTTACAATATAAAATTTTTCAAAACACATAAATTACGCGCAGAAATATTTTAAAACGCGTGCTTATTTCGCTTTTGGACTCGTTCTAGAGACTCGGTCGGTAGAGACAGCCGTTATATGAGTAGGTAAAATATGTAATGGGCATTACGACCTGCGCAGACTATTGTCTGAAGTTTTAAGTAATTTGTCATGAAAATGTCCATTTTCAGATCGATCTCCAATGGCTTTCGTTGAGTTGCAATCGATATAACCTGACTAAGGAGAGCTGTGAAGAAATTGTGAGTGTTGTTTTTTTTAATAACGTGTTTAAGTGCTTCCTTCGTAAGTGTTGAGGTCTAATTATCTATTACGTTTTTATAATTATTTGTAACATTAAAAAGGGGTAATTTAAATTTCGACATTCGAACGTTTATGATATTTTTTATCATACCAAGTGATGGAACGAACAACTCGTGCGCCTGGTGGTAAGCGACACGCCGGTCCATAACAGTTGCAGTGTTACTTAGTGCTTTAAATCGCAAAGATCTGAGTGGTACTGCCACTGTGCCCGTCACCCCGTGCCCATTGTTCAAGGTTGGAATGTATAGGCATTAACTATCGGCTGCAGTTCCTTAACATATTAAATTTAGTAGCGATAAAGCACCTTGTGAAAGAGTTCGTCCAGGGAAGTACTGCCATCTTAGCTATTTCTGCTACCAAGCAGTGATATGAACATTACTGCGTTCTGGTTTTGAAGGCTAAGGGCGATGGTGAAATTACAGGCACATGGGATTTATTTAAAATAAAATGTAAGTGCGCATTTGACCTCCATCTCACCCGTTGGAAAGTAAGGTCCAGACGATAACATTGACGATGGAGCATGCACTCCTAAGTAATGCCAATTCACTCTCGCCTTGAAAAGGTCTAAGTTATAACGTTCAGGGAACAAGTTTGCAGGCAGAAAATTCCACTCCATAGCCGTTCGTCATATAAATGTGGAAGCGTAACGCTTCGTGCGAATCTTTGGAATATCCACAACATATGGGTGGAACCCAAGCCTACGCCTAATCCCCCGGTGATGTTAATTAAATCGTGTAATGCCATCGCACACTCTCAGTGATATATAATGTAAAATACCGATAAGTAGGCAACTTTACGGCGGTGTTCAAGGCTTTGCAGCCTTCACTAATTCCGAGTAGTTGACTCGGAACTTACAGTTGGTAAGCCTCTTGGCACGATTGTCAATTGAATAAAAGTGGCCAGTTGATATGTAGCAGAGCCAGAGCCACTTGTCAACTTACGTCTAATGGTGAGGGGCGCAGCGGCAGTGCACATAACATCTTTGCGATTTAAGGCTTTTAGTAGTACTGCAACTGCTATGAACAGGCGTATTGTTTACCATCAGGTGCATGACTTGTTCAAAGCAATGATATTTCCAGCATTCCGGAGTATGTATTGAAACATACACATATCAAAAGTGCCAATGATCAAGTACGTTTTTGCTAATTACTGAAAATCAGCTTTCTTTATTTTTTTTTATCATCAATGAATTTCATTGGCTAATTTCAATTTCAAATTTGAATTATAAAGTTGACCAATAAAAATACCATCGGTGATAAAAAGAAATTGAAAAAAAGAAAAAAATTCTGTAATTGTCAAAACGTTCTGTAATTGTTGAAACTTGCTTGATGTGTGTACATGGATGTATTGATACTTTTGGTTAGTTCTATCCTTGAAATACTTGTAAAAATGTACTCTTTTTCAGGAAATGCCTATGCCGATAATAGCAACCCAAGCGCCTCTGGTATGATTATCAAACTTATTGCTGTAGCACATAAGTTTTTTCTTTTATTTCTTACATACTAAATGAAACTATTTTCTCGGATCTAAATAAAGTATAGATATTTGTTTTTTTAAACAAACTAAGTTTTCGGGTTCTTTACATGACGTCCTAAATAATGGTTAGGTCAAGAGTAGGTATCCTTAACTTACGAGCATGTATGACAGCGTCGATGCGCGTTAATGGGGCGAAGTATGTGTGTCAGAATGAGTGTCGGGTTCTGGAAAAATAAAATATAGTTATTTTTGATACAAGTGCGGAAAGTTAGTCATTATTCACGAGTCTCGAGGCATCGAGTCAAGACTCGAGACAAGTGAAAATGACAAATCCGCATGTGTATCAAACAACGTTTTTTCATACATTTGCGAAAAACCTACATTGAAAGTAAAATAAAACAGTATTTAAAAAAAACCTCATTTTATTCCTTTGTCAATAACAAAATCAAATCGTAAAAAAGTTAATGAAAAAGGCGGGAATGTAAACGATGAAAAAAATTAGTACTTTTTTGGCCGACTTTTTTTAATATGGCAACTGTTGCCATTATTCAGCCACATTAAAATTACTATTTTATATGATTTTATATTACTTTATTTTCTACATAATCGCTACTAAGGAGCATTTACTTCATAGGTGTAAAAATGCGGTCTCTCCATAGATATAGTATAGTAATGACGAATGACATACGTCACAAAGCACATAAATATGAAATAAATATACAATCTCTTTAGTTCTATGTTTAAGACTTAAAACAACAATAAATTTAAAAAAAAACTGGAAAAGTAAAAAGCACTAGTGCGAGAAATCCAACTTTCCGCACGATTTGTAGTGCGAAAAATACCACGTTTTGAGCAACTGTATTAAAAAATATTTTTCCGAATGTTTTTCCACATTTGCCAGTTGACACCTATCAAAAGTTGATGATACTGAATGAAAACGAAGGAGTCGTTATAAAGATTTTGTTTACCTGTGATCTTTTTTCGCTGCATATATACAGCGAAAAAAAAAGATTTAAAATGATTGGACAATATTGTCCAATCATTTTAAATCTGGTTTTATTCTAACTTGGTTTTAGCTATACTATTTTATTTTATAATTCACGCTAAATAAAATTTAATATATATCTGAACGTAGAATATAATATGAGCTTTCGAATTGTATATTTCCAAATTATCGGAAAATTTTCAGGGAAAATTTTCACTATGTATGTATGTAAACATGTAAACACATGTGGCAATAAAATTAAATAAATAATATACATAGGCAACCACAAATTACACCCAAACTCACGAGATAAATAAATGTAGGCCATACAAATATTTTTCCCTGCACGAGAGACGAACCCGGGACCTCTTGCGTGGCAGTCCAGGATGGTAGCCGTTTGGCCACAGAGGTAGTTATTTAAATATTAATATATTTGTGATAATTTCATTTTACTATTTATCTATAATTAATTTTCAACCTAAGCTCTGTTAAGCCTTTGAGGTGCATCTGAACGTGTCGTAGACCCTATCTTTGCTCCAGAACTAGACGCAGTGGTCAAGAAAAAGTCCATCTATTTTAAAATTATTAGGATTCCAGAGTTAGTAGAAAGACAATACGACGACTGGTAGAGATCGTGTGCTTTTGAAAGATCAAATCAAATCAAATCAAAATTATCTTTATTTCGTAGGTAAACAAATTACACTTGAAATCGTCACATTTAACATATTTTTACAGCCATACCGCCTTATCGTTTAAGTAATCAGTAACAGCGTAATATCCTCCCTCAAGTAAGGTAGTCTTTACATGTTTTTTAAACTTATCAAAAGATAGATCTAAAACAGCTTTTGGAATCTTATTATAATACTGAATTCCTTGCCCCACAAAAGAACGCATGACCCTTTGAAGTCTAAATTTCGGTAACACGAGTTTCCATTTATGTCGAGTATTAAAATTATGTATGTCACTTCGTTTATTGTATAATTCATTATTAAGTCGTATAAAAAGTATACAATTGTAAATAAATTGTGATGCAGTGGTCAATATACCAATTTCTTTAAAAATCTCCTTAAGTGAGGTACGTGAACTTAATTTATAGATTGCTCTAATAGCACGCTTCTGCAAAATAAAAATTGTATCAATATTGGACGCTGCGCCCCACAACAAAATCCCGTATGACATTATATTATGAAAGTAACTGAAGTACACGGTTCTGGCTGTCTCGATGTCAGTAAGTTGTCTCACTTTTCGCACAGCATAAGCAGCAGAACTAAGCTTACCGGCCAATGTCGAAATGTGTGGATTCCATTGCAGTTTTGAATCCAACTTTATTCCCAAAAAGATGGTGGTGTCCTCCAAATATAATTGTTCATTATTAATTGTAATGTCAGTTGTTACATTCATTACATTAGGTAACGTAAACATGACACATTTCGTTTTCTTGGAATTGAGCTTCAGATTGTTTACGGTAAACCAATTCTGAACCTCCGAGAGAGCACTATTTACATCGTCATAATTAGATTTATTTCTATCAATATTAAATATTAAGGAAGTATCATCTGCAAATAGCACAATCTCACAGAGATCCTGTACAAAATAAGGAAGATCGTTGATATAAATTAAAAACAAGAAAGGTCCTAAAATAGAGCCTTGCGGGACCCCCATTCCTACGATGATCGTACGTTTTAGTCAGTTACGACAAAAAACGCAGATACGTCAGTTAGTGAGAAGAGCAATGATATTTTCTGAAAGAAATAAAGAAAGAAAACTGTTTATTGTACAAACACAGATACGTATATGCACAAAAAAACAAGAACAATAATAAAAAAAAAAAAGATTAAAAACAATTTACATGATTTATGCAGTAATTTACCGACATGCGCGTCGCGATTGGTACAATCGGGACATGCTTAGCTTTAGTCACAATCGGTTTCTTAAGCCGTGTTGTGGCGCTGATTTTCAGCAAGCCTTATTTTTGTGTGAGCTACTGACAGCAATAAATCAATAACTAAATAAACAGTTAAGAAAACCGACATAATACAAAATGTACATATAACTATACAGGCACGTGAATTACTTATAATATGCAAAATAACGTTTCTGACATGTATCACACACGAGTTGCTATGTGTACGAGAATTGTCGTAAAACTGGCAATCCTGCAGTACGACAAGGCGCGCGAGATGTAACATAGTAGCGCGAGATGTTACTATTCTCGTTATGTTGCTTCTCACGTAAGTCGCGCCGTTTCGTGCTTGCTCTATTGACTTATTTATAAAATTTCAGTTTGGTTTCGAGTCGTCAGCGAGCGTGGATGCAGTTCCTCCCTGCAATGTTTCTTGCCCTCCAGTGAGTTCTATTACATATAAAAAAATATATATATTGTATATTTTCAGAGTAAATTGTTACTCTAAAGGGTGGTGTAAACAAGTCACTTTACAAGAAAATATCTTACTGGTCCGGAGGAATAATGTTTTTGTTATCTTTACTTGACTATTGGTGTACTTAAGTGTTTTTATTGAATGTCAGGAAGTTTCATCAACATGATATTAATTTTTTTTTTGTGAAATTACTCCACTAGTTTATGATATTGATTAATACAAAAGGTTCAGAACACTTACAAAATATTTCTTTGATCCACTTTCATACATTTCTCATAGATGGCGCTACGGCTAAAAAGTCATTGAAAACCAAATACGTCCGCCGGTTCGTTCCGTGGCTTAGTTGGCATAGCGTCTGGCACGGTTTGCTAGAAGTCGTCGGTTCGAATCCGGCCGGATCGAAGGATTTTCTTCTAAGTGTTCGATTTTTGTATTAATAATTATTGGTATACTTGGTGTAATAAAGTCACATGTGTACATTCGTCAAAAGTGTTTTTATCACATGATAGCCGTAAATACGAACTACATGAAATAAATTTTGTGAGATTTCATTACTCTTATTTAAGCATAAATTAATAAATTTTCAGATGTGACATTTTTACACCTACAGTGGGAATTGGAAATAAAAATTTATTACTACAATTATTGTCATTGTTACTGCGTGAAAGTTTACAACTTGCATAACAAATTACAATGAATGCAAATATTTTGGTTGTGAAAAAATTGTAAATTTATAAGGAATAATTTCTGGTTGATAACATTAATTGGCCCACATCGTTTGTTACAAATACTTGTAACAAATTCGCAATTAACACTAGTCTGATGATGATTGTTTCTCAGGGACCCGTTGGACCTCCGGGCTTGCCAGGACCACCGGGGCAAAGGGGGCCGACAGGTTTGCCGGTAAATTATTAACTCTTTTTATCTACGTCTACTTCTTTTCTCATCTCAATTCGCGTAACATTGTCTGAATAATAAAAACATTTTGTTGACTGTAAATTATAATTCAGATTTGTTATTAGTTTATAATTAATTACGAAGAACTCTTAAAATCTTAGGGTTGGTGTTGTTATAATGAGTAATTATACTGAAAAAAAGAATGGATTTCATTCAAGCAAATTTTTAATTGAATCAATGGCAATTTGATTAAATTCATTACTTAAAATTGTTGGTGCCACCATTGTACTTGTTGTTGCAATCATTGGGCTTGGTAGGCTCAAATGGAAACAAGACACATTATCGCCTTATACGAAATGTTGTTCATATCAATAACATTCTTTTTTATAACGTCTATGTTATGCTTCTTTATTATCGCTTTTATGTTCTTTTAACCCTGAACGTATTTAATCTAAATCACAAAAAGGCTAATAACATAAGGGGATAAAAAAAAATCATCATCCACAGCCCGACGTCACCCTCTTCTGGGTATACATATATATATATCTACAGTGGGTGATATATATATATATACCTAGGCCTCCCGTAATTTGTGCCATCCACCACAATCCTGTGCTAGTCTCACCCATCTACCGCCCGCAACTTTGACAATGTCGTCCACCCATCTCGCTACAGGACGTCTCACGTTTCTATATCCATTTCTTAGCCACCATTCGGTTACCGCCTTACTCCACCGGTGTTCACCACGTCTCGCAACATGTCCCGCCCAGCTCTATTTTAAACTCCTTATCCGATTTCGAGGCACAAATAATATTATTATATTAATATTAAATATAAATTTATTAAATTAACATCATGAATGTGTACAGTGATTTTGATTTTATTTACGTAGGGTATAAGAGGTGAAGTCGGTCCTCCAGGGCCGATGGGACCTTCAGGGCCGAAAGGAAGCATGGGAGAAAAAGGCGAACCAGGGGACATTAGTAACGTGAGTACCTAGATCTTTTATTATACTTACTTTTCTTCACTGCCAATTGGTGTAGAAATTGTGGATAGGTATCTATTACAGGTACCTATTTTCACCTAAAAACAGAACTGCAGTATTTAAGATTATGTTGAAAATGCTGCGCAGTCATATACAGGGGACTACATTTTTTGTCCCATAGAATTCACTCGTTGATTCGCTGGTTAGCAAAATGCTTAACAAGTGTTAAAACGACCTTGTTTAGAGCTTAAACATTCTACTCGCAACCTGTAGATCAACTTTCTGCGTGCCCAGTATAACAATGTGGTGGTGCGCTTGGATGACATTCATGCCATCATGCGCAAGCAAGTAGCATCCTTGATGATGCGCGTGCATGCCGGCGATAAGAGTTTTATTTAATATTTTTTTTCATTTGCATTTTTTTTTATTACTTTAAAATGTTACATGCACCCATTAAGGTTATAACAAATGTTAAGTCTTATAAGCTAAAATTAAAAATAATAATACAATTTGAATACAAGAATTACATTTAATAACACAATTTGAACGCAAGTTAATAGGTAAGTATTATAAGGTAAGCAATATTACTTAAGAGCATGGGTTCCCAAACTTGTTGTCTCACCGCCCACTTAGGCAAGACAAAAAAATTTTAACGCCCACCACCACAAAATATAATTGAAAACATGTATTTTTTGTATTCAATATATATATTCAATATTCATTTA